TCTGACCCCCTTCCTGTCCCTGCAGGCCAGGGGCCCCGAGGAGCTGGAGGCCCGAGGGCCCTGTTCTGGTCCCAGGGCTTGGGGACACCTACCACCGTGGGCCAGGAGGAGCATGGACGTGGACTCGGCCCCGAGAGCCTGGCCTGGCCGCAGCAGCAGCTCTGCAGAACCAAGGCAAGCGTTGGGGGCCCACATCTGGGAGGGGGCAGGTCTGAGAGGTCCTGCTGCCTGTCAGCCTGCTCAGGACCCCCATCCTAGGAGACCCTGCGGGGCCACAAAGTCACACTCTCCTCTGAGGTTGAGTAGGGTCTGCACAGGAATCTCAGGGCAAGCATGGTGTCTGCTGCATGTGACACCCAGAAGCAGGGTGGCATGGAGATGTCACAGGAGGGCCCTGAAGGGCCGAGGGCACCAAGGAGCCCTGGGAGGCTTAAGGCAGAGGCAGGCCAGATGAAGGCTGTGGGCCATGCCTGGCAACGCCTCCACAGGAGGTGGAGTCCTGGCCCACCTGATCAGGGGTCTGGCCATTTGGGGGACAGCGAATATGGGGAAAGTGCAACAGAGGGGCTGATTTTTTTCAGCTCTGGTCAGCCCGACTCTGCCCATCGACTGCCCAACTCCCGGGACACTGCGTGAACAGGTAGCGACAGCCCCCGAGGAAGGCCTTCCGTCCAGGGCCGCCTGGTGCTGCCCCTCTGGCCCCCGCCCTTCCCCCAGGGGTTGGAGGCAGGCTGGTGCCCGCGCGACTTGCGGACACCGACCTAGGGAGTCCTAAGGTGCCTTGTGTGTGTCCGAAAGAAAGGGATGCGACCCGGCTTGCGCCCGCGGTTCCCATGCAGGGACCGGGCATCGGGCTAGTGCACGTGATCAGGGAGGCCCCGTGGCCATGGTCCCTTGGGCGCCTCCCCAAATTCACCCGCCCACACTCCGATGCCACCCACTCTTGCTTCTCCTTCGCGTCTTCGTCAGTCCCGCGCCCAGGCCCACCCCACGTCGGTGAA